ACCCTTTCCACATGTACTGCTAGTAAGCCCAGCTGGAGGAAACCTGGCAATGGAGGTTGAGACTCAGCAAGACCCAGGAACACTTAAGCACATCTGTCCCATTGAGCGATTTCTTCCCAAGCAAATTTGAATTGGGGAGCATGTAGCTCAGGAAGTCTTAATAACGTTTTCTATCAACACTCCTTCACACACACAAACTTTTTATTTATACATCTAAAAAAGCAAAAGTGTGACCCATTCACACTTGTGGTGCATGTAACTGTGTCAGTAAATCCAGATTGGCTGTGGTCCTCTGCCATGTGCACGTGTGGTACAAAACACACATTTTTATTCCGTGGGCATGACACCGCAAGCAGCCTTTGGAGGCCAAGCGAAACTACATAAACCGCAAAGTGCAGCCTTTTCAACTCAAGGTAGCCACTTGGGAGCCATTTCACACATGCGTTCAGATCACTGGTTTACTCAACACTTGACGACACTTAAGGGAAAGTCCTCCATCAGAGTCAACTTCATTCAAAACACAAGTTTTATCTGTGATGGCACACAAGTCATCAAGCAATGCTATGACATTAGGCCCTGTTTTCAGAAGAACAAAACTAACAAAACTAACCACAGGATAAAAACAATGCCAAGTTAGTGGCAGAAGAACCAAGCACAGTTCTAGCTTTTCACGGACAAGAAACATGTTTTTATAGGTTCCTCAGGAGGAGGTTTGCACCATGTTCCACTCCCAACGCTGGTCATTCTGTTTATTTATCTGGACTTCTTATCTCATGCTTTTGAAAACAGTCTCGGATTTGAAGCCTGTCCCAGGATAGGGGAGAGAGGAGCAGTTCCTGCTCCAGGAAACTGCGTCTGGCTCCAAATAAACACATTTGCATGCGCAAGTTTGCCTAACGCACACATTTTTGCAACGCGATTTCCCCGAAGATAATGCTTCAGGAACAGATGCGTTTATCTGCACACTTTAACCCATGCTTGTACACATTACTTGCCTGGAGAAATAAAATTCGGAAAAGTGCGCATTTCGAAGGATGGTTGAATTTCAGTTAGCATATTGTTTCAGAAAGTGAATCCTTACTTCCGAGTAAGGATTCCTAGGGTCGTGCTAGAAGGCCCACTATATTCAGTGAAGCTTATTCCCTATGAAGCAAATTTTGAACTCCCCCCTTAATTTGAAACCACTACCAGATTGCTTCTCTATTATAAATACTCCCGAGCCGTTTTGCAATTTTCTTTCAGAACTCAGCAGCCCTGGGGCCTTTTGCAACACGATGTTCCAAGCTCACTAAGTGGCTTTTCGAAGTTGTCATATGAGCACTTCCAGAAGGAAACGTTAGGTGGGGAGAACAAGCTTTCCAGGATGAGCCCATTGACAAGGCCTCTGCCAGGGGAAATCCTGCTCACAGATGCCACTCAAGACAGGCCCTATAGATAACTAATCCTTTTACAACAGTTCCATGCAAATGATCTCATAATGCTGCCTGTGAAAATGAGCCCTTGCCAAGAGAACATAAATGCAAGGCTGCTTTTCCAAGGGAGAATCAGCAGGTGGGAGGCAGGCTGGAGCAACCCTCTCCTGCTAATACCCACCAATTCCCCATTGCACATCCTTCCCCTAGCACTTTTAACTCACAGCAGGGCTTGCTTCCAGTTTCGTAGCCCAGCTGCAGGGCAGGGAGCTGCCGAAGGAAAGAATCGGGAATCGGCCAAGCTATTCCCCACTCCCATTCGCTGTATCAGGAAAACGCCAGTTAGGAAAGCTTGCTTTTCTCACAACATCAGCCCCCAATGAGGCCCCACAGTCCCTTGTTTTGGAAATCCAGACTCGTGGCTCTCTCCTCGCAAGCCAGGTCCTTGGCATAATCACAGCGAAAAACAACAACACCTCACTAATATAAGCCCTTGCTGGCACATGTTGCTGGTGGAGCAGCCAGATGCTGCTTTCTGCAGGTTGCAAAAGAAAAGGGGGATAAAATCCAAGCCAGAAATTTCATATCCTTATCAAGATCCATTAAATCTCAAACCGTTTTTATTTTCTAGGCTAATGTGCAATAGGAAACTGAATAGTTAGATGACTTTCTCCTACGGAAAGCAAATGAGGACTTGGTTGCTAAAAATATAGCAAGTTCCGCTTGCCTGCAAAAGCCTTACATGGAAGATGCAGATTTCATGATGTTTTCTGTGTTTGACAGTAGCTCCTTTTAGGAGTTCTTTCCCACTGATGGAGAACCCATCATTCGAAAGCCCTGGGGCGGGAATCTAGAATTTCATCCATTTTAAGTCGTGACCAACAGGCCAGTCTCGACGCAAAAGAACAAATGGATACAAACCTGGCGCCAGAAATGGCAAAATGAATAAGTAAATGATAGTGGGGAGTGGGGGAGCATTTCAGCCTCCCTGGTCACTCCAGAACTGACTTTAGCAGCCATCTTTCAACAAAGAAACTTCAAATGGGAAAACACAGCTTGAAACCACAGAATAGCAACTCATCAAGAGATTTGGTGCCATCCACTTGTAGATTGAATCAAAGGATTTTTATCACCCTGTATGTGTCGGTTGGCTTACCAATGTTGGGGTTTCTGTGTTATAAACAACAACTGGGTCTGGGTTTTGTTTTGAAGAAATGCAATTCTCACAGCCTGTACTTTTCTGCATTCCATTTCCTGCTCACTTCAGCTACATTTCTCTCCTTCCACCCCACCCTAGAAACAACCAGGAATGCATATGTATGTATTTGAAACTCAGGATAACACTTCATAACATTTGGTGAAGGGGACTGCGGTCCACAAAAGCTCGCGCCGTAATAAAACTGTTGCAGCAAAAACAGCAGTTTTTAAATCTGGAGGGCCATGTCTGAATGGGAATTGGAACCCCTCGTGTTCTTCCTGGACTAAAGCACAGTACATTTCCAAGCACAGTTCAAAGTGTTGGTGCTGACCTTTAAAGCCCTAAATGGCCTCGGCCCAGTATACCTGAAGGAGCATCTCCACCCCCATCGTTCAGCCCAGACCCTGGGGTCCAGCTCCAAGAACCTTCTAGCGGTTCCCTCACTGCAAGAAGTGAGGTTACAGGGTACCAGGCAGATGGCCTTCTCGGTAGTGGCACCCACCCTGTGGAACGCCCTCCTATCAGATGTCAAGGAAATAAACAGCTACCTGGCTTTTAGAGGACATCTGAAGGCAGCCCTGTACAGGGAAACTTTTTAATGTGTGATTTCAGGGCTTGTTTTCAACTGGAACTCACTTGGACTCTATTCCGGCACTTCTCAGGTGGGTGCCACTGCTATCATAGAAGAATAAGGGAGGTGTTCATGGTGAGTTCTGGCACCTCTTTTTCTAGAAAATAGCACTGTGTGATGTTTTACAGTAAAACCTCGGTTGTCGAACGTAATCTGTTGCAGCAAACCGTTCAACATCCAAAATGTTCAACAACCGAGGCGCAGCTTCTGATTGGCTGCAAGAGCTTCTTGCACTCAAGAGGAAGCCGTGTTGGACGTTCGGGTTCCAAAAAAATTTCAAAAACCGGAGCATTTACTTCCAGGTTTTCAGCGTTCGGGAGCCGAAACGTACGATAACGGAGGCGTTCAGGAACTGCTGTATTATGTTTTTATATATGTTGGAAGCCCCCCAGTGTGGCTGATGCAACTCAGTCCAATGGGCAGGATGTTGCTATCCTTATTATTGTTATTTTATAAAGGTTACTGAGATGGCACGGGAAGTAGCTGCTGGAAAAGCAAACCTTGTTGCTAGCAACATACAAACTGGCCACAGAAATAAACCTCCTTGAATAAGCTGGAACTTTATTCCAAATTAAGTAAGTTCATGATCAGGGTATGTTGTGTGCAAGGCTTTTTTTCCCTGCTGGAACACTTTTTCTAGAAAAATAGCACTGGTTGTGTGGAATTCACGATCAATGGGTGGGGTGTGGGGATGTAAGACATGGGGTGGGAAGAAGTTCTGGGAGGGGGTTGCACTGCTCCTTAAGCAAGAGAATGATTTTTAGCACCTATAATGACAAGGTCCCCTGGCCAGACCCCCTCTGGCATGATTTTATATCTCCTCGCAGACATAGATAAGCATGTGACCTGGCATGTAGCACTCTTTGCAACTGCCACTAGGAAAATTAGAGCAAATTATATAGCCAAGATAGCCACCAACTGTAAAGGAGATGAATTTATTTGACCCTATCTACATCAAGCTATATTCTATCTTTATCACCAAACTCCGAATATAATTGCACACTGTATTAATCAACATTATTTTTTAATATGTTAGTGGCCATGTGGTGATTTTAGCTGATACATTTTATTGTTTAATGTCTTAACCTGTATATTATGGTACTTTTATAGCTCTGTTTAAGGGACGCGGGTGGCAATGTGGCTTAAACCACAGAGCCTAGGACTTGCTGATCAGAAGGTCGGCGGTTCAAATCCCCGCGACGGAGTGAGCTCCCGTTACTCGGTCCCAGCTCCTGCCCACCTAGCAGTTCGAAAGCACGTCAAAGTGCAAGTAGATAAATAGGTACAGCTCCGGCGGGAAGGTAAACGGCGTTTCCATGCGCTGCTCTGGTTCGCCAGAAGCGGCTTAGTCATGCTGGTCACATGACCTGGAAGCTGTACGCCGGCTCCCTCGGCCAATAAAGCAAGATGAGCGCCGCAACCCCAGAGTCGGCCACGACTGGACCTAATGGTCAGGGGTCCCTTTACCTTTATAGCTCTGTTTAGAGTAGGTAATGTCTTCATAATATAAATGTTCTGAATTTTTGTATTAATCCAGCATATTTTCTTTTAATTGTTGAATGATTCTTGTGTACATTGTGGCAGCCTGTGGCTATGTGCAATAAAACTGACAGACTGACTAGGAGGGGGTTGGTTGTTGAGGCACAACAGCCCCTAGTGTGTATGTATGCGTGCACACACACTCACACAAAAACACACACAAATCATTCTGTTTGTTTGCACTCGAGTCTCCCCAACAAATCTCCTATGGCTGATTTACCTGGCCTGACTGGACTCTGCATGCAGTTCTGAGAAACCATGGTAGGGTGGGCCGACGTGGATGCTCTGCTGCTGAGGTCCATGACGGAAGGTGATGCTGAGGTAGATTGCTGAAGAGCTGGTTGGTGCGGGCTGTGGTCATGCTGGGCCGGGCTGGGCGGAATGCCGTTCTCCGAGAGAAACTCTTCCAGGTCCATGTATTCCAACTGGAAAGTGTCGCCATCGTAGGGAAGGGTCTTGTCCCATAATGTAGGACCCAGGAAAGCGGACTGTGGGACCATAGCATTGGTATTGTCCTCATCCAGCTTTTTCTCTTTGTCTTTTTCTTTATAAAATGCTGAAAGGGAAAGAAAGAGAAAGAGAGAGGGGGCAGAGAGGGGGCGAAAAGTCAGTACGTCCACAGAGGAGTTTGTTTGTTTGTTTCCTTGCTTTATAGGAAAACGACCACAGCAACCCTAAGAGTCAGTTCTCCTCCTGCAATTACGGCTCTCTCCGTACGGAAAGCTCTACGTTTCGGTATAGGGTTTTGAAGGGCCTGGGATAAATTTTTTTTCGACTCATTAAATATATGCAGGGTTTCCGCCTCTGTTTCTAATTAGCAATTCATCTGTACACTTGGCTTCGAGCAAACGTCAAGATCCAAACAACACTGCGAGGTTTCATCAGAGCGTTCGCAGCAGAAGACGGAATTGGAGGCGGGGAAAGGGGGAAGCGGGAGAGAGAGAGATGGTAGAAACGTAGAATCAGAAGGGACAACAAGGATCATCTAGTCCCAACCCCTTGCAATGCAGGGAGGGAGGGAGGGAGGGAGGGAGGGAGGGAGGGAGAAATTAGAACAAATATTGCCTAAAAGGACATGCTCCACAAGTTGAAAGCGTCATTTTAGAGGATGAAACTTAATTTTTGCCAATTTATTCAATGAGGGGCGGTCTTAAAATAGTGTGTGTGTGTGTGTGTGTGTGTGTGTGTGTGTGTGAAAGTCAAACCTGCTATTATTTTTGTGATTGGGCAACACTTCACTTTGCAACTCTACGTCTAATTAAAAAGCACATAAACTGCTCTCGGGAAAACCAAAGAGATTTAATTTTACCTTCTGAAAATGCCAGGTAACGCTAAATGATATAATGATAATGATAATGATAATAAAAACTGCAAGTGCGTGACAATCCTTTTTAGTGATTTCCGCGCAATTTTACACACATTTTCCTTCCCAAGCAAAACTAGACTGTCTTCATTTCAGCAAAACATCTTCTGAATTCCCAAGTCATGTTACAACTTTTTAACACCCCTCGTTTGGGGAATCTTAAAGTTGAAAAATCCAACAGGCCCTTACTCTGCCAGCAAGTTCTCTTGCACAAAGAACACTGAGATGGATCAGAGCCTCGCAGGGTTCCAGTTTATCCCAATAGGGTTTTAACGGGAGAACTTCCGAAGAGCTGAACTTTTAAAGGAGAAATTTGATCCCCACCCCACTCCTCTCAAAAAACCTAATTGTCTGGCTCTGAAGAATGCCCTGAATTGTTTTCTGTTTTACAAAGTTGCGGAGCCTATAGCTCACAAGACATACCATGGTCCCATTGATCGAGACAAATAAATATAATAGCCTCTATCGTCCACAAGAAAGCAGAGTTTACAATATACTAGAATGTCCTGGTGATTAAAAGCACGCAGCACACAGGCAGAAGTGGTCTTTGATTGCAAAGATGTAAACGAGCAAACAAAAGGTTATTTAATGTGGAAGGAAATCGTGTGATTTAAATGAATCTTTCCCAACAAAAAACGGTGGTCGCTGTACTGCATAGGATGCTCCCACACATTGATCTCCCTTGGTTTTTAACTAAACTGCTTTAGCAGCAAGAACAGAGAGCTGGAAAGAAAAGGCTGAAGTCCCCCACTTCTGTATCTACCATTGTCCTGATCTATTCTGCCCCATACACCTAAAACATTTGGGTGTTGGTTTGGGGAGGGGGCGGGTGGTTGTTGTTGCGTTTTGTTCTTCGCAGCTCACATTTGCTTGAAGCCACGAATGCATATGAACTGTTTGCCCCTTAGGACTGAGGAATACAGGCACTTTAGGACTAACAGCTGCCATAATTTAGGTTTTCACTGCTCAGAGTAAAGCCACTGGAGTCAGTGTAGCATAGTGGTTAGATTATCAGACTAGGACCTGGGAGACCCCGGTTCAAGGCCCCGCTTGGCCGTCAAGTTCACTGGGTGAGCTTGGGCCAGTAACCGCCTCTCAGCCTAACCTTACCTCACAGGATTGTTGTGGGGAATAAATGGGGGGGGGGAGACCATGTACACCACCTTGAGCTTTCCCAGAGGAAAAGGCAGGATATAAATTATATATATATATATATATATATATATATATATACACACACACACATATACACACACACACATATATACACACATACACACACACACATAAATATATTCACTGCATCCCACAGCTGTGTTTCAGTACAGAAAGAAGAGAGACCTAATCAAGGGTTTCCAACGTATCTTGTAGCTCAGTCTTGACTTCCACATAAACTGGGTTTAAGATTGAGATGCATAAAAAGAGATTTCCTGTCATTATGCTAGATAAAAAAGGCACTATAACAGCCCAAAGATTCAAATAAGCAGAGTTACACATCTACTCAGACATAAGCTCTGTTCAATGGGGCTTACTCCCTGGTGGGTAGAGGATCCTATAGACAGGCTAGAATGCAGCCTAAATTTCTAAGGAAGTTAAGAGCCTCAAAGGACACAGTGGTCAACATATTGATCAATATACAGTGGTACCTCAGGTTACATACACTTCAGGTTACATACGTTTCAGGTTACAGACTCCGCTAACCCAGAAATAGTGCTTCAGGTTAAGAACTTTGCTTCAGGATAAGAACAGAAATTGGGCTCTGGCAGCGCGGTGGCAGCTGGAGGCCCCTTTAGCTAAAGTGGAGCTTCAGGTTAAGAACGAACCTCCAGAACGAATTAAGTACTTAACCTGAGGTACCACTGTATCTTTTTTTAAAAAAGGTTTACAGACCCATATATGTTTCTAGGATTTAGGGAAAGAGATCAGCTGTCCACAATTGACCATTTATGATTTGCCATGATCTTGGATTAATTCTGAACTTTCCTTCCAGATACGCTCCCTCTGGAAAAATCATTATAATCTCTGTGTCCTTTTCTTAATTATGGATTTCGTGGATTGCTGTGTGTCACTCACAAGACCGAATGCTACAGGTCCATGCGCACTTACTTGGGAGTAAGTCCCACTGAACGAAGTGTGACTTGCTCTAAAGGAAGCATGTCTTGGATCAGCCTGCACAGGCGATACTCAAATATCACATGTGGTTATATGAAGCTGTCTAGAAAACTACAGGGAAATACTGAGCGCTGCGCAGTCTGCAACAGCTAAGAAGCCCCATTGCCGTGGCTTCTAATGGAGTGTGCATTGCACCCTCTATGTCAAAACACCACAAACACTCACACTCTTAGAACCTACAAAAGATGTAGAATAAGTCTTTGCTAACGTATTTACAAAAACCTATTGCAGCTTCTTAGTGCAAAGAGGTATTTGGTAAGGGTTCTGTTTTGCTTACATGCAAATTCAGAATCATAGCTTCCTTTAGAGCAAGTCGCACTTCGTTCAGTGGAACTTACTCCCAAGTAATAGACATTTTGTGTGCCTTCTTCTCTTTAAACTTTAATAATAATAATAATAATCTAACACATAAATCCATTCTCCCACGTGAGAGAAAGACTGAATTTTTAATAGCTGTAATTCTAGGCATGCACTTCCTTGGAACTCGGGTCCACGGAAATCAAAGATTAAGACTTCCAAGAAAAACGATGGCAGGAGCTGATTGATATCTAAAAGCACTAAGACGCCAGCGCCTTAACTTCCCATTTAAATCACCTTCCGAAGTAGTGTTCCAAGTGTGCCTTACAGACAAACAAGGAGAATAATAAAAAAGCAATAAAAATAATAATCAGCTGGCTTACTCTTTAACTACACATGCCATAGTAAACAAATTAAAGTCCAACCCTATGAATGTTTCTATTACAGGAACCCCACGGTTACAGCACAAGCCCAACGCATAGACTCCGGCTGCGCAATTCCTTGGGAGTGAGCGCCCCTAGACCCCAGCTGAGGTTCCAGCTGAGCAAAACTCAGCAGTATTTTCCTGAGAGTAAGCACGGCGCCTCTCAACAAGCAACGGAGTTGTAGGATCCGCAACCTAAAGGAAAGTGCTCCGGCTCCTGCCCGGGGCGCCCGGCGGACGCACCGCGCTCTGCATTGATGCGCAAACTTAAATGTGGGCTTTTGCGCGCTTGCACGAAATGCGCTTTTGCGCGCTGCTGCTGCTGCTTAGCCAGAAGGCAGTCTTTTAAATATATTTGCGCTCTGTACCGTGTGTGTGTGTGTGTGTGTGTGTGTGTGTGTGTGTTTATATATTGGTCCAGAGGAGAGGAGAGGAAGAAGTAAAGAAGCAAGCGGGATAAAGCGGGAGGGGGGACCCTAAAAACCACTACCCCAGCCTTTATTTCCCTTGCCCCCGATCCCCATTTCTCTCACCGTCTTCATGCTGCAACGGTAGCTTGAGCGGGTTTTCCAGCAGAGATTTCAGCACCCCGTAGGTTGGAGGTAGGAAAGTTGGATTCAGAGGCAGAGGTCGAGCCATGGTCCTGATCTCTCGTTCTCGCTGCCCCCAAATTATTCTTTTTCAAACCAAGAATAAGAAAAAGGAGGGAGGACAAGAGGGCGGGCGTGGGTGGGAAACCCCAAATTAGGAGGTAAAAGGAAGAGACTGGGAGGGAAGGGGGGAAGGAAAAAAACCACCCCACTGCTAATAATTTTTCTGAAAAATAAAAATAAAAATCATCAGGGGCTCCTCCTTTTGGCGAAGTTCTAGCCGGCTCCAGACGCTCCGAGGAAATGGGGACGTCCTTTTGCTCGCTTGATCCCCTTTCGCATCAACAACAACAGAGGCAGCAGGAGGAGGGGAGTAAAGGGGGGGTGGGGGGAGAGAAAGAGGAAAGAAAAGAAAGAAAAGGAGAGAGGCAACCCTGACAGCCAGGCAGCCAGGCAGCCAGGCAGCCAACCAACCAAGCTCGCTCGCTCCGCCCAGACCGAGGAGCTGCCGGGGGCCGCCTGCGCCGCGCTCAGAGCAGTTGGCTGTCCATGTGCGGACGCCGACGAGCGTGACGCCCAAGGGCGGCCCTGCGCCCAGGGAGGCGGGGTAAGGGAGGGGCCGGACAGATCGCCGCCCCCGGCCCGCGATCGGATCCCGCTTATACGCCGCCGCCGCCGCCACCCCGGTTGTTCTTCTCGGGCGCTTTTCTCCTCTTCTGCGCCGGAGAAGCGGCGGGAGAAAGGATGGGCGAGAAAGGACTTTTAAAGGCATTGGGGGGGGGAGGGCACCGGGGAGAAGCTGCAGCTGTAGCTGCATCCAGAGGAAAAGAAAGGATGGGGAAGGGAAAGGTTAAATTCGTTCCGGAGCGCCTGTTTTGCAAGATGCACTTCTGGAAACAGAGAACTGTAGAGTTGGAAGGGAAGCCTGAGCAGTGCTTCCCAAACGCGGCGGGTCTCCAGCTGTTTTTTTGGACTACAATTCCCATCAACCCTGACCACTGGTCCTGCTAGCTAGGGATGGTTGGAGTTGCAGTCTAAAAACAGCTGGAGACCCAAATTTGGAAAAGGCTTACTTCTAATCCAACTCCCTGCAAAGCAGGAATATGCGAGGATCGAACCTGGAGCCTTGGGGTTATCAGCACCATGCTCTAGCTATGTAAGCTTTCTAACTTGGTTGCCCTGTGACAGCTCCATTAAAAAAAACTAAAAAATAAAAACCGTGTGAGAACAAAACAATTTGCCACATGAGCATGAATGAATTCGCGGCAGATACAACTGCAGTTTAAAAGAGGCAGCGTCAAAGAAGGCCGTTCAAAAGTTGGCGTCCTCAGGGCAAGTTCTTGCTCGAGGGGAAAGAATGGTTAGCCATCGTTGTATTTGTTTGCTTGCTTCTTTGGTTCACAGGGCGATTCACAGAAAGAGTCTTGGGAGACTGCAGTGGGCTATTCTTCCTGGCGCATGCCCCCTCCCACAACTCGCTGGCAAAGTGCTGGTTCCCTTGGTCCGTACAGTGATACCAATCCCACCAACATTTCTCCAACGAAAATTTTGTTCGACTCTCCGTGACCCCATGGACCAGAGCATGCCTTGGAAACTCTCCCTTTCTTCTCAAAGCTTCTTTTTCATGTCCACGGAGTTTTCTTTTATACAGAACAACAAACCCCTGTGTTGCAAACTAAACACAACAAACAATACAAGCAACATGAAGACCAGTATACTAGATAGCACTGCAATCCTTATTGTATGATATACATGATTTAGTGCAAGAAAAACACAATATGTACACTTGTAAATTCTCTAATATAGTTGAAATCAAATGAACACACGTCTGTCAATCTTTGAAAGTCGGTAGAAGTATAATAAATCTATGGTTGAAACAAAGTAATAGAAACAGAGTTTTCTTGGCAAAATACTGGAGTGGTTTGTCAGTTCCTTCTCCAGGTGGATCACATTTAGTCTAAACCAGGGGTCTGCAACCTTTAAGACAAAAAGAGCCACTTGGACCCGTTTCGAAGGAAAAAAAACCTGAGCTCGCAACATTGCGACATTTAACAAATATAACACAGCATATATTTTCTTCTAGAGCCATTACAGCGGGGGAAGTGACGTCAGGACGGTTGACTACAACGCCCCATGCGACGTCCAGCGTACGCCACATGGACGGGGCGCACAATGCCTCCTCCCTCGCTAGTATCGAGCGACGACAAAGTGTAAGGAGCACATCGGCTCGGACCGCGTGCAGACCAGTCTATTTCGCTATGACTATCCGTCTTGGGTGCCCTGCACAGCATAGCTCAGAGCTTCTCTGAGTTACTCAAGCCCCTTCGCCAACAAAAACAAGGCATGAAGCCATGAAGGGGCTGAATGAAAATAGGGGTGTCCACTAGTTCAGAAACAATAAACAAACAATTTTACTAAATTTATATCTCTCCCATCTGACCTGGGTTGCCCCAGCCACTCTGAACAGCCTCCAACATATATGAAAACATAAAAAAAAACATTAAACTTAAAAAACCCAACAACTTCCCTATACAGGACTGCCTTCAGAGGTTTCCTAAAGGTTGTACTTATTTCCTTGGCTTGGGGTTCGCATAACTCCATACCCTCCTACATTTTTCCAATGAAAATAGGGATGTCCTAAGGAAAAGCGGGACATTCTGGGATCAAATCAGAAACTGGGACAGCTTCTGTAAATCCGAGACTGTCCCTGAAAAATAGGGACACTTGGAGGGTTTGTGATACAAAAACATTGTGGGTCATGCAGATGGAGGTGTCATGGTCTTTTTCTAGCTGCCTGGTTTGTTCCAAAAAGTGTCCCAGGTTCCGTCACATCATAAGTTGTTCTGCCATTGCCGCATCTTGATTGACACCTTCCACTCATGTGCAACAAAGGGTCAATGTGCAAAATCGTGATTGATGGGTGACAGTTTCCAGGGACGCTGTGGGAACATTTGTTGGTATTACCACATTAGCTTTGATTTCTGAGCTGTGGGTTCTGCCTTTGGTCATGCATCGATGGAATCACGCCTGTGTTGTACCAGCGCTATCAGGGGCATAATATCATCCATCAGCTTCGCAGGACCACAGGATCAGTCTTAAGGATCATCTCTTAAAGATTTAGGGGGCCTTCTTCAGCTGCAGACTTAACACAGCTACTGTGCTACAGTGTTTTTCCTGTGCATATCAAAAATCTCAAGATTTAAAAGTATGCAGCAGGTATTTTAGAGACAGATGATGATTGCCGGTGCTAATGATACTCAGAGTAGAACTGCTTAATTGAATGGACTCGGCCTGGATAGCTCAGTTGGTTATCACGTGTTGCTTCTAACACCAAGGTTGCAGGTTCAATTCCCGTATGGGACAGCTGCATAGGTTGGACTAGATAATTCTCTTTTTTTTAATTTTTTTTATTAATTTTACAATTTTTTATACACAATACAAACAAATAAAGAGACATACAAACATGTATAATTTCATAACCTTTTTTTCATAAACCTTACTTCTCGGACTCCCCCAAACCTCCCCTTTCTGCATCCCAAATTTAAAAATTATTTCAGCAAATCCTAGCTTTAAACTTCTTGAATATATTCCTTCATTATTCTCTTCTTTAACTTAATCTTTTATCGCTGTAATCTCCTTATCTTTCTGAAGAACCTCAACATTTTAACATTCATCAATTTTATAATATTTCTTAAGATAGATTTTAAATTTCTTCCATTCTTCTTCCGCCGTCTCTTTCCCCTGATCACGGATTCTGCCAGTCATTTCGGCCAATGTCATATAGTCCATCACCTTCATCTGCCATTCTTCCAGAGTGGGTAGATCTTGTGTCTTCCAATACTTTGCAATAAGGATTCTTGCTGCTGTTGTGGCATACAGAAAGAATGTCCTATCTTTCTTTGACACCAATTGGCAGGCAATGCCCAAGAGAAAGGCCTCTGGTTTCTTAGGGAAGGTACATTTAAGTACCTTTTTCATCTCATTATATATCATTTCCCAGAGGACTAGATAATTCTCAATGCGCCTTCCAACTCTACGATTCAAATTTTATTGAGCTCAACAGGTCTGTTCTGACTATGACTTGATTGTATATCACCTGGAGAAAATGCCTCCTAATAATGATGAAAATAATTACAGAGAGGCTATGGATCCATCATGGATTTCTATGGAGAGTTTCAGAGCAATAACATGGGCACAGTGCGTTAAAAGCCATCCCACTCAGGAAGGACCACTAGATTAAAGATTTGGACACATCCATGCTATGCAAAAATTACTAGTTACTGGACACTTAAGTACATAAATACAGGGCAATTGACACCAGCAAGGGGGAATGGCTGGCACTGCTGCATGGGGAGATATGGTACAGACTGAATTCCTATTTGATATGCACATAAATAAAGACGGAAAGAAGCCTTTGAGAGGTTTAGGGTTAAGGGAGAAAGAAGGTAAACAGAAATATAAGCTCCAGGAGGAAAGGAGAATCTGAGAAGTGCTGATAAACAATATTAATCTGAGATTAGTCTTAGAAAAAGAATCCCTTGAGAAGGGAGCGCAGGACAATTCGAACTTTTAAACGTATATTTTCAGCCCAAAGCAACAAACACACAGCACAATGTTATTAGATGAAATGTGATATTCTGCTGGACAGGAAAACCAAACGGACCTGTCTCCTTGTTAGATTGCGATACAAACTGTTGGTTCCTGTGAACCAGAAGAATCTAATCACTAGCACAAAAGGGTAGAAAGTGACCTGTTTATTAACCATATAGGTATTCAACAGGAGCCACTCAAAGTTCCACCTCCACCACATGCATCACACCATAGCTGAGATGTTCTGAGTGTCAGGGAATCACTGCCACAAAGCAAAGTGCTGTCGTGCAAATCACCCAAGCATTCTCTCTGAGTCTGGAGCCTACGCTCAGAGCATGGCCTGCAGGGATTTGATGCAGCAACCCTGCATGGATCAGAGACAACCAGGGACCCCAAATAACAATGAATTATTATCATTACTCTGGGCAGCCCCCAACAAAATATTCAAAACACCGCCCTGAGTTCCATGGAAGAAACAAAGAATATGAATGTAATAAACAACCATTCAAATCCACTCTCAGATCTGATTAGGGATGATGTGGGGAGGAGAAAAACATGATTCAGCTTGCATTGAAAGACAAATCTACCTATTTCGGAGTTTCCAAAATTTGCAGTTTCCAAAGCAATTCAGTGAATTGAAACACACCCATCCTTCAAAATTTGCATTTCTCCCAATTTGGCAATGCATTTCTCCAACCCAAGCAATGTGCATATATTTTTGTATATTGGTGAAACCAATATACAAAAGATGTGTTATACAGTGGTGCCTCGCAAGACAAAATTAATTCTTTCCGCGAGTTTTGTCGTCTTGCGATTTTTTTCGTCTTGCGAAGCACGGTGTCGGAAAAGTTTTGGAAAAGCTTCAAAAATCACCAAAGTCTTCAAAAACCTCAAAAAAAGGCTACCACACCGCATGCTATGAGTTGCTCCTCGAAGT